GTCTCTGAGGTTCTTCCATCCCTTGTCAGTGAACTCTCTGCCATCCTCCTTTTTCTTATTAATCACAAGTATTTATTGAACCTGATCTCTGCTACTTACATGAATGGTGTTTCTGTGTAGACTGAACTCTGGCTCCTTTCCCGTTATCCTACCTGAATGTAATTCTTATCCTAACTCTATTAATACCTTTCACTGAAACTTTTTTTTGTTTTTTACATCATTATTGCTTCTCACCAACTCATCATCGTAAGTCTCCCCTGTGACAAAGAAAAATCTGAGCAAAACTCAACTGACAAAACGACAATATTTGCCAGTGTTCACGATATGTTTTACCCATAGTCACTAAACCTCTCCATCGAAAGGTGTATTTCCTCTTTTTTCCCTCCTGGAATCAAGATTGGTTATTTTATTTAATCTAAACTTGGGTATATTTTAGTGTTGTTTCCATTTACATTATTGTCATCACTGTATATGCTGTTTTCTTGTTTCTGTTTTCTTTGCTCTGTACCAGGTACATACAAGTCTTCCTGTGTTTCTCTGACTTTCTTATAATTACTATTTAATACAGCATAATCGAATTCTGCTTCATCCATATGCTAAAATGTATTCAATCATTCTCCAATCCATGGGCCCTCTCTTTGTTTCCAGCTTTTTGCTACCAAGTAGTGGGATGCTTTGAACATTTTGCTATGTATGGAATTCCAGTTTTGATTATTGACCTTTGTATGGTGTGTGCCACTTATGGGATGCCTTAAAGAGGGTAATGAGAGTAGTAACTTTGCCTTCACAGTTCTAAATTGTTAGCCAGATTTACAGATCCACCAACACGTATCAACATGCCTGTTTTCCCACAGTCTTTCCGCCATTGAATACTGACTGTCTTTTATCGTCTTTACCAATTTGATAGGTGTAGGATGAAACCTTTGAGTTATTTTAATTTGCATCTTTCTTCTACTGATGATTTAGAATGCTCTTTCATATGGTTATTAGCAATTTACATTTCTTTCTTTCTTTCTTTCTTTCTTTCTTTCTTTCTTTCTTTCTTTCTTTCTTTCTTTCTTTCTTTCTCTCTTTCTTTTTTTTTTTGGAAAATGGTTTGTTAGTGAGGCAACACTATACTCCTGTGGCCTTCTCACCCTAGAGGATCCCTCGGCCCTGTAGCTCCTTCCTCTGATTGGTCAGATCCTTCCCGAACTGCCATTTTAAGGAAAGGACCAGGGCTGCCATGTGCATTCCATTATTTATTTCTGGATATCTCTCCTGATTCTCTAGATTCTTCTCTCCATCATGCAGGAACTTTTTCCCCCATCTCCACTTCTCAGTTTCCTTTTAGGTGTTATCTTCTCTCTAGGCTTCTTGGAGGCAGGCACTTCTTTCTTTTTGATTGTATTCGTATACTCAGTACTTAGCACCAAGCCTGACACTCAGTAGGTGCTTAATGAGTGTTTGTTGATTTGTTCATTTGAACTATAACTTTGCCACTTACTGTCTGTATGATCTTGGGCAAGTCACCTAACTTTATTGGGCTTCAGTTTATTCATCTTTAAAATGAAGGTATCCTTTCAATCTCATGAATCCTTTAACCATTTGTAGAAAGAGTTCTGGGTTTAGAATCAGAAGAACTGAGTTCAAATCCCAGCTCTCCTAATTATTAATCAATTGGGCAACCTTGGGCAAGTAACTTGAACACTCTGTGCCTCAGCTTCCTTATCTGTAAAATGAAGAGGTTGGACTTAATGGCCTCTGTGGTCCTTTCTAACTCTACGTTTATTATAGAATGATATGAGTTCTTCCTCCGTTTTGTTTTGTGTGTGTGTGTGTGTGTGTGTTCTTATATTTATCTAATATGGGGATGATGAATTTGATTGCTTTGGAGTCTTATTTAATCTGCTCCACTGATCTATTTTTGTAATTTTTAACCACTTTCAAGTAGTTTTGATGATTACTGATGTATAATAAAGTTAGAGCTCTGTTAACATTACTCCCCTTTCATTCTTCCTCTCTCCTCCCCACTCCATTTTTTTCTCTTGATATTCTAAACCTTTTGTTCCTCCAAATGACTTGTGTTATTATTTTGTCAAATTCTCTTTGGTAGTTTTATTGGCATAGCACTAAATTTGTAAATTAATTCAGGCAGTACTGTCATTTTTATTATACTGACTCAGCCCAAGTATGAATAGTAACTATCTCTCCAATTATTTGTCTTTATTTCTATAAAGAGTATTTTATAGTTGTATTCATAAAAGTCCTGAGTTTGTCTGGGTGGGTTAGCTCTTAAATATCATCTGCATTTTGTAGTTATTTTGAAGGGGATTTATTTTTCTATCTTTCATCTTCAATTTTTTTTAAGCATTGTAAAAATGCTAATGGTTTTTTGGATTTATTTTACTCTGCTACTCTATTAAAGCTTTTAATAATCTCAATTGGTTTCTTTACTTATTTTTCTGTTTTTAAAAAGTAAATTACCAAGCCATCTGCAAATAGGGATAATTTTGCCTCCTCTTCATTTATGTTTAGACCTTTAATTTCTCTGTCTTGCTTATTGCTATAGTTAGTATTTCTGGAACCATGTCAAATAATAGTGAGTGAATGGGTGCATACTCGCTTTACTCTTCTACTTACTGGGAAAACTTCCAGTGTTTCTCCATTGCAACTAATACTAGCTTGGTTTTAGATATAAGTTTTTGATCATATTAAAGAAGGAAATTTCTATGCCTATGTTTTTAAAAACATTAATATAGATGAGTGTTACAGTTTGCCAAAGGCTTTTTTTGTTTGTATCTATTGATACAATCATGTGGGTTTTGTTGCTTATATGATTAATCATGTTACTTTTTCTGATGTTGAAGCGTTCTTGTTTCCATAGTATTAAATTCCATTTGGTCGTAGATGCTAATCAGTTGTGTGACCTTAGGCAAGTTATTTCCTCTTAGTGACTCAGTTTTCTTGCCTCTACAATGAAGAGATTGAATTAGATGATCTCTCTGGTCCCTTCAGCTCTATGAGGTTACAATCTTTAAGACTATGATTCAAGATAATATTTGCTTTACATATATATATATATGTATATATATATACACACACACTTATATATACAATACATACATATACATAAACACACATATCTGTTATATATGTATGTGTGCATGTATGTATACACATACATAATTATATAGCAGTATTTGAACTCAGCTCTTCCTCACCTCAAAGACAGGTGTCTATCCTTTATACCTAGTCTGCTTTTCTTTGGTTTTTAAGGAACAGAAATACTGTGATACTTTCCTCTAATCTAATTATGTGGTTTATTAATAGCATATAAACCCACGGCAGAATATTCACACAAAAATGATACATGATGAAGAGATACATATCTCTTCCTCATAACCCTTATTTTGGTTCTAGGAAACAAAGCCCCGTGCATAATCATGATCAAAGAAATCAGCTCTGTCCAGATTATGGACTGATTTGGAGTGGCCCAAAGAAGATCCATTCTATGTGTGGAATATACTGAGGAAAACAAAGGAGTCTTTTTTATAAGCCCCAAGCCTGGGTAGACAGACCTCAGGTACCTTGGGATACACCAAAAAGGAACAGGTCAGGTAAGGGTATACACATGGGTTAGTAGGATTCCTTTGATATTAAAGGCTGAGTCTTCAAACTCATGGGTAGTTGTGTTTACATCTATCTAGTGTCCCTACTCTCTCTCACTGGCCCTGGGGCCAGGGCCTGGTTTAACAAGATTACATCACTTGGTTTCCTATTGGGCTCAGCTTAATTATTGTTTTAACCAGCCCACTTCTCCTTACCTTATCTGAGACTTCCACAGCCATGATAACATTAATAATCAGAAATGCATTTCTAGAGCATTGTAAGGCATTTAAAGCACTTTTCTCTCTCCAGCCTTTGAGGTAGGCAGTACAAGGATCGGATGAGCTCTGGGGCCCCTCGAGCTGTAAAGGTCTAGGAATCTATGAGCCTATTATCCTGTCCTAGCCTGTTCCAGCTGCCTTTTTTTTTTAAATTTAGAGATTTCTACAGGAAAAAAAAAAAAACAAAGCTGCCAATAATGCCAGAAAGCAGAAAGCCTTTTTTTTTTTTTAATGGGTACATCTTGCTTTAGCCAACTGGGACTTGAGGTGTGGGGAGCAAGGAAGACAAAGAAAGGTACAGCTGTGGAGGGAGCAGGGTACCCAGGGCCCAGCCTTGGATGGGATCATATTCAGGCCCAGAAGGAGGAGGAGGAGGATTTAATGACCCAGAAGGGAGGTGTTCTCCTAGGCCAGGATCTCATCACTCCTCCAGTTCTTTGGTGAAGGACATCTGGGCTGTCCCATGCAACAGGGTGCCCCCTCATATTGAAGAGGCCCAGATGTTTCATATGGATCATAGCTCTAAAGCTGGAAGGACATCTAGCCCAAGCCTCTTATTTTACAGTTGAGGAAACTGAGGCCAAGAGAAGTTAAATGACAAGCTTAATGTCACCCAGGTGGTATGTAACAGAGGCAAGATTTGAACCCAGGTCCTCTGACCCTGAATCCAGAATGTTTTCCATTGATCAGGTGCATCTGATTGATGTCTCACCTTTCACGTAACATGATGGGAGTGGGGCACCCAGGTTGCATGGAGGTAATAAAAGCTTCTAGCAAGAAAGATTCTATTTATGAAGGGTTCCAGAGGGAGGGCAGGGACATTAGGCAGGAGATACCAGGCATCTCTGAAAAACTAGGAACATTTTGGAGAGCAATCCAGGAAATAAAATAAAGGAACAACATGGTATAGAGGAGAGAATACTTAGATTTACTGTCCATGTCACTTTGGGAAGATCACTTGGTCTCTCTGGGCCTCAGTTTTCTCATCTGAAAATGGGGAAATGGACTAGATGATTTCTGAGGGTTTTTTTCCAGCATTGGTATTCCATGGGTTTACAATACTATGAAAATGATTCAAAAGCTGTATGTCATTAAATAAATATGAATTTTGATTTTTTTTTTTAGGATGTCAAGTGGGAAATAGGGGAAGAAGAAATCAGCATTGGATAGAAATAGACACTATAGTTTCAGAGCTCATTCCTCCCCTTGGTGTTATCAGGGAGGGGAACATGGATCAGGACACCTTGGGGAGCCCACTGGCAAGACAGGAGTAGCAGTCAGATGAGGTTAAGGTAAGTGAGATGAAATTGTCTATTTCAGTATCTACTTACATTCCCTCTCCCTCTCTCCCTAGGGAGGTCTCTATAAAGAAAGAGGAATCTGTAATTTTAGAGTTTTCTTGGATGAGGAAGAATGGAAACTTGTATTTTTTTCATTATCAATCCTAGAGTTATTAAGTCCTGATTCCAAGTTTTTGCTCTGATATTTATTAGCTAGGTGACTTTGAACAAGTATGAGTCTTTCTGGGACTCAGGTTCATCTGTAAAATGAGAGGGTTGCATTCGATTACTTCCAAGGTCTCTTCCAGATCTAAATCCATGATTCCATGACAGAGCTATGAAGGCCTGATCTCAAATCTTGGACCTACCACTTATTAGGTGTGTGACCTTGGATAAGTCTCTTGCCCTCTACAGATCTCAGTTCCTGTGTCTGTTAAAGGAAGTGGTTGAACTAGATAATTTCTAAGATGCCTTCAGTAGCAACATTCCATCATGTGGATGTGCCAATCAATGAATAAAAAAGCATTTGTCAAGTGCTTACTCATCTGATGAGAAGGAATATTTGGATTGTAGTTGGCACCAGTGGAGGGGATACTCCCATGGTTGAGATCTCAGATATGGTTGGAGAGAGAAGCCCAGTGCTAAGGGTGTTCCCTCTAGGACAGGTCCAGAGAGGGCTCTTTATTTCTCCATTCCACTTTCTCCATCCCTTCCCAAGTTTAGGCTCTCAGTAGGATAAGCAGGGTCTCAGCTTGGGAGAATATTTCTATCACAAGACCCCCGAGACTCTCCTTTGAGTCCTCAGATCCATTAATCCCTGGTGAGCTTTGCTGGATACAATTTCCAAGATTAATTTCCTCTTAGTGAGCTCAGCACCACTCAGCTCAGAAATTTTCATTTTCTTCTGAGTCACTTTGACCTTGTGCCAGGAGATGGCACTCTTGAGGCATGAAGGGGAAAGGGGGGGGGGAGGGATGTGCTGAGGCAAGAGGGGAGACACACCAACAGAAGAAGGAGGCTGACAGGGAGAGGGGCTCTGAGCAAATGTGACTCTAGCAGAGCTCATCCTAACAGCTGTTTGGAAATCTTAGGCTTGTAACTGGGAGACTACAAGGAACACGCATTATTCCCTTAAAGAGCTCAAATCCCATCTTAAAGACAAAATTCTGCGAAGTGAAATGAAGCAGGGAGTAGTTTCTTTTCCTGCTTTCTTCTGGGGATTCAAGTACTGAGTGGGGAAAGAGCTCAGTGTCTCAGGATTTCAGCTCCTCCCAGGAGGCTCTGCAGATATATCCTCTGCTATTTTCCCCAGGGTGCTAGGATGGCAGGGGGTGGGGGGAGGTGGAGAGGGAGAAGGGAGAAGAAAGGGGGAGAGAGAAAGAAGAGAGGGAAGGACAGGTGCAGACAGAGACAGGGACAGAAAGAGACATAGAAGCAAACAGAGAGACAGAGACAGAAAGACAGGGAAGAGATTAGTAAAAGACACAGGCAAAGAGGAAAGGGAAGGAAAAAAAAAGCAAGACTGGGGAGGAGAGGAGTAGAAAGGGGAATAGAAAAAGGGAAAGAGAGACAGGGAACAGTGGGGAGTCTGAGGGAAGAGGGAGAAAATAGGAGGAGAGGAAGAGAGGAAAGAAAGACATAGAGAGAGGGGGAAAGAGATATGACAATGGGAGGGATGAGATGGGGTAAGAGCAGAAAGAAAGGAAGAAAGAAGAAGAGAGAGAAAGAATGGGAGATGGTGGAAAGAGAAGGGAAGAGGGAGAAAGGAAAAGAAGAGCAGGGAAGAATATACCCAAATGTGAGGGAGGCCAAAGAAGGAAAAGAGGGTAAAATGCATGCTATGATGCATTAACATGTGAAAATGAGCAGATATCAGAAGAAAGTGGATGTTTCATATGTGAATTATTTTGATAATGGCTGAAGCTTTCGTTTCACCTTGAAGATGGAGGGAGAATTAAGCAGGAGGAGAAAAGCCAGGATTGGGGGAGGAGCAGAGAGGCAGAGGGAGGAAGAAGCGGGGAGATGAATTAATTACTAAGGCAAAGGGGATAATTAACAATGTTTGAACTTGTGGTCTGTTAGTGGAAAGAGCCTGGGGCTTCTTGCTATGGAGAAGTAGCAGTGTCTCCTTAAGGGATTTTCAAAGGAGGAAAACACTTTATATGTTATATAGACACATACCTATACCAGCATGAACAAACACAAAGCACTATGTGCAAAATCACATTCAAACTCACATTGTCTGCTTCTGTCTACAAGCACTTTCCATACATTGTCTCATTCAACAAGTAGCAAAAGCATTGTTATCCCCATTTTATAAATAAGAAAATGGAGTTCCAGTGACATGAAGTGATTGCCCATTTTCACATATCACAGGCCAAGAGCCTGTTTTTTGATTCTGCATCCAAATGGACTTTTCACTGTAACAGGATGACTCTCTCTCTCTCTCTCTCTCTCTCTCTCTCTCTCTGTGTGTGTGTGTGTGTGTGTGTGTGTGTGTGTGTGTGTGTGAGAGAGAGAGAGAGAGAGAGAGAGAGAGAGAGAGAGAGAGAGAGAGAGAGTGTGTGTGTGTCTCCACTGGAGTCAAGTTATGAAGGGCTTTTAGTGCCAGATCGAAGAATTTAAATTTTCTTCTCTTTCCCCACAAGGGCACCATGAGGTCATAGAAAGATCCCTAGACTAAGGAGCTAAAAGACTTGGGTTCTAATCTGGCTTCACTGTTGATCCTTAGTAAATCACTCCCATCTGCCTCTGAGATTCAGTTTCCTTACTGATAAAATGAAAGGGTTAATCACTAAATTCTCCATCTCAAAAACTACAATTCTAAATACACTAAGTATTGTCTATAGTGGGAAGACTAAGATTTTCAGTGATTTGGCTTTATTTAGGCTTTTCTCCCCACTTGGAATGGAGCAGAGCATTATTTCTCTCTAACAGTCTATGCTCAACTCTTTCCTCCAACCCTTGGCTCAAAGGCTGTCTCCTCCAAGAAAACTTCCATGACCAATCTCACCTCCTCAATCCCTGTCACTCTGGTGGATGCCAAATGTTCTCGTACTCAACCATCGACTTCACTGTAAAGAGACTCTCATTGTCTCCAGGTCATGTGTCTGCACCTATACCATGAGCTTCCGGAGAGTAAGGATTATTGCCCCTCTCACCTTTCCCACAGGTTATGAGCCCCAGGAAGGGCTCTCAAGAGGTCCCTCTTAGTTGGGATGAAAACAGAAGCCTTGATTGTGTTAGAAGACAATTGTCAGGAACCAAGCTGCCTAGTAAAATCAGGGCTCATGGCCCCAGAGTTCTTCAAGCTGCAAAGGAGGTCTAGGTGCTGAAATCAGAGACTTGAGGAAGACGATGACTTGGTCTGACTTTGAACTCTTCCTGAGAAGAGTACAGGGGACCAGATACATATGCCTTAGAGCTGGGCAGAAAGGGGATCAGGCAGATCTAGAGGCCTCTGAGGCCCCATTCATTTGCCCTTTCCCCATGTTTATTCTTTTGTATTATTTGACCTTTAAGCTCCATCTCTTCAAAGCCATTGTGCAATTGCCCCCACTCAGAGCTACAATTAGCAATGCTTGTGCCTGGCGCACAGAGACTGGAATTCACTTCTGAAGAGTGGCTGGTGGGTGGGATAAGATGGTGCCCCATGGTAGAAAAAGAATTCTGAGCTTGGGACACTGATGTGAGGCAGCTGTCGGGAACACCACCAAGAGTGGAACAGGACAGGATAGAGCAGGAAAAAAGCTCATTCCTCTAGCCATCTTATAGTTTTGTATATTAACTAATTATTCATGACAAATCAATGAGAAACTCTGTTGCTTCTATGCTGCCAGACAACAAATCCTATCAGCATTCTCTAAATTTGGGTGTCCTCTAAAATCAGTACCCTGGGATGATACCCCGGTTGCCCTCCCCAAGTTATGGTTCTTCCTTTCTTCTACTGCTTCTCTATGTTTCCTACTCTACTAGTGCTTTCTTCATATGGGAAATGGGCATAATAATCCCCAACAACCTTCCAGCATGTGTGAAGTTTAATGGAAAGGCATATGAAACTACTTTGAAAATTAGAAAGCACAGAACCCCCTCTAGGATCACCAGAAGAGCAATGGAAAGACACATGGTGGTCATGACTACAGCAATACAGAGCAAACGAGAAATTGTAAAGGAAAAGTAATATAAAGGAGGCAACTGCAGAAAAAGACAGATTAGTCACATGGAAGGCACAAGTGGGTGGCAGATTCTTTCTTGGTATCTTTCTGATGTCAAGAAAATTCAAGGAAGGTCCCCAATACTTTTGTAGGAACTCCTCTAGTGAACTTAGAGGAAGATACGGATGAATGTGGGCAAGTTAGTACCTGTATTGTTGGAAAGAGGATGGACATTGAGACCACACATCAGGTATGTGAGAGTATCTCTGCACCTTCCCCTTAGGCACTGGCCCTTTCTACTTGAGTCATCCTGGAATGCAGGGCTTCCTAGCAGACTCCCTTGGCTGCCCGGGGATGAATTATTGATAAGAAGAAGGGCCCATCACAGCTGGCCCAATGCTATACTCAGAGTGGTTTGGTGATTCTAGAATTGACTCTTCCAGGCCCTGCTTATGTAGCAGAGGGCTTCTAGAGAAGGAAAAACCCAAGTTGAATTTCCATGCTTGTGCATTTTTTATGTCTTTGCAATCTTACAAATTTTACTTATGCCACCTGGGAGGAATATGAAACATCTCTCCACAGTAAAAATCCTGCTCCCCAATCTAGTCAGGGAATGATGTGCTCTTGTTAATCTGATACTCTCCTTAAGAGTTCTCATGTATTCTGCTCTGAGGTTACTGATTTTTCAGTTATATATGACCTTGACTATCTACATTAAAAGCAAATAGACAAAAAAAAGTGGATGAGAATGCCTTTTGTCAAGACTAAGACATGTAGTTAGATAAATAACCTATTCGACACATTCTTTAGTATTTATATTTTGATTAGAAACTGTAAATGGACCATGAGCTAATGGCAGAATTCGAAAGAGAGAAAGGCTAGATTACCTTGAAATTGTACAGTTCTTTGGACAACTTCAAGGTTCTCCCTAAACAAAGGCCCATCTTTTCAACACTAATATTCTTTCGGTGATGTTGTATATCCATGAGTCATCAAACATCAGTTTCTGAAGTATTGTATTTGAGGATCACCTAAATGGTAATGGCAGGGACATGGTGGGTATAAGTAGGCTGCAACACATTGCAGATGAAGAGCTGTACCAGAGGGATGGCATAAAAATGCCATCAGAGAAAAGTATAACCAGAAAAAAAGATGGTCCCATTGTAGAGAATAGCCAGTCAGCCAATAAGCACCTACTATGTTTGAGGCGCTATGCTCAGTGCTGGGGGAAGGTGAAATATAATTGATGGACAACTCATTTGTATTGTCTATGCACTTGATGTCAAGCAATCTAGAGAAAGGATCCCATCATGGAGGGTGGATCCCCTCTGCCAGATTTGTACCACATGGATGAGTCTCATGGGATGGATGAATGGGTTGCAGTCTGAACCATTGAGTGCAGTATCCACATAAATGACATCATAGAGCTGTACAAATATGGAAATAGATCATTAAAGTTTTTTTTCAACCTTAATTTAATCTTCTTAAACCATACAAAGATCAACTGGAGGAATGGAGCCTGGAGAAGAGAAGACTTCAAGGGATATGAGATCTGGCTTCGAGTATTTTTAAAGGGTTGTCTCAGGAAGGCCAGATTAGCTTTGTTCATCTTGATGCAGAGTATGTATGGGTGAGAGGAGGTCAAGAGCTATGAGCAGTGGGCAGAAATAACGAGAAGGAAATAAGTTTAGTACAAGGAAATGCTTCCTAAGTAATAGAGCATGGAATCAGTTGCCATGTAAGATAGCTCCCTTTCAGTGGGAGGTGGTCTGGTAGAGATAGGATAACCACTTGTTGAGAATGTCAAGGAGGGAATTCCTACCCTGGTTCAAATTGGACTAGGATGCAATGTGGCCTAGTTGAGATATCACCAGCTCTGGAGTCCATTGAGAACCAGGTCTCAATGCTGACTCTGATGACGTTGTTGTGGAGTCATTTCGGTCATGTCCAACTCTTTGTGACCCTGTTTGGGATTTTTGTTGTCAAAGATACTGGAAGGGTTTGTCATTTCCTTCTCTGGCTCATTTTACAGATGAGGAAATTGAGGCAAACAGGGTTAAGTGACTTGCCCAGGGTGACACAGCTAGTAAGTGTCTGAGGCTGGATTTGAACTCATGAAGATGATTCTTCCTGACTCCAGGCCCACTGCTCTATCCACTGTGCTGCTTAGCTTCCCCTGCTACGTCTGCTACTTCGTACCATTGTGACTTTGTGTAAGTCATGACCTCCCTGTGTTTCAATTTCTTCATTTGTAAAGTAAGGGGCCTCTGAGGTTCCTTCCTCTTCTAGATCTATGATCCTGACCTTTAAGGTCCTTTGCAGCTCTGAGATTCAATGATCCCACTTATGATTCAGAGGGAATAATGTGGAAGGGCCTCAGGGCTGTTGTTTTAATAACACATTTCTAACTGCATTAAGGTTCACAAAGCACAGAAGCAGAGAATATTACAGTTAGCAAGGACCTCAGCCGGCACCTGGCACACGATATCTGAAAAAGGATTCTCACTGCCACATGCCTACCTAGTGGTTACTCAGCCTCTTTTTGAAGACCTCCAGTGCCTCTGGACCTTGGAATGTCCTGCATTACAATTTTGGATAGCTCTAATTGATAGAAATGTTCCTGATATGGAACCTCAATCTTTCTGCTTGCAATGTCTACTCAAGGCTCCTTATATCCTGGCTTCTAGAGACCACCAGAACATGTCTAATCCCTCTTCCATGTGACAGCTCTTCAAATATTTGGAGACAGTTATAATATCTCTCTGAATCTTCTCTTCCCTCTAGTCCCTTCAACTAAACATCATTGAACCTGAACTCAAGCCGATTGGCCATCTTGGCCACCTCTGGATACTCTCTATCTTATCCATGTTCTTTCTAGACAGTGGCCCCCAGAATTGAACACATTACTCAACATGTGGTCTGACCAAGGCAGAGTACCATGGGATTATCATCTCCTAATTACCGCTCTTAACAAAACTCAAGATTGCATTAGTTTTTTTTTTTTTTGGTTTCCACATCACTTTGTTGATTCATATTGAGTTTTTAGTTCACTAAAACCCCAAGATCTTTTTAAAAACAAACTACGGGTCTTCCCCATTTTGTGCTAATGAAGTCAACTTTTTGAACTCAAGAGTAAGTATAAGACTTTGCATTTATTTATGTTATATTTCATCTTCTCAAATTCAACCCAAAGCTCCAGGCTTTTCAGATTTTTCTGAATCCCAGTTCTATAATCCTCAGTGTTTGTTTCTTTCCCAGATTTGCATCAGCTGCAAATTTGAAGAGCACATCATTTATGCCTTTATCGATGTCATGGATAAAATATGTTAACTAGAACAAGACCAAATGCAGATCCCTGGGGCATTCTACTATAGACCTCCTTCCAAGCGAACATAGGACAATTACCAAGTATTGTTTGAATCAAAGCATTCAGCCAATGTCAAATCCATCAAATCATGTGTCATCATTATATCATTATCTAGTCTATATCTCTCTGTTTTTTCCACTAGAAGAGTATGAGATACTAAATCAAAGGATTTGCTAAGATTTATTGCTGTTGTCCAGCTGTGCCCAACTCTTCATGACCCCATTTGGGGTTTTCTTGGAAGAGATACTAGATGGTTGGCCATTTCCTTCTCCAGCTCATTTTACAGTTGAAGAAACTGAGGCAAACAGGGTTAAGTGACTTGCCCAGCGTCACACAGCTAGTAAGTGTCTGAGGTCAGATTTGAACTCAGGAAGATGAATCTTCCTCTTCCAAGCCTGGTGCTCTAACCACTGCACCATCGAGATGCCCTTTGCTAAGATCTAAGTAAGCTCTAGCTATTACATTCTTCTAACCTACCATCTGAGTTTCTGTCATTTGTCTTTTTTTTTTTAACCAGGCCTGAATTTCACAGGTGTAGGGGACTCCAGGTGAGGAATTTCCCTTACCAAGAGAATCACTACCTGCTGTGACATTTACCGCCCTATGGAGTTATCTGTTGAACACTGAGAGGAAAAGTGACTGGAGGTAAAGTGGCCAGGTTCGCACAGCCAGTACATATTGTGGGACTGGGACCCAGATCTTCTTGCCCCCAAAGTCATCTTTCTATCCATTACACCACACTGCCTCTCACTATTGAGTAACCCTGTCATAAAAGGAAATAAGGTTAGTCTGGCAGGACCTCTTCGAGATGTGGTCATACTGGTTCTTGGTGATCACTATTTCCTTTTCTAAATGTTTGCTAACCATCCTTTAATATTACAGTGTAGAATTTTCCCAGGTATTGACATCAAACTTTCTGCCCTGTAATCTGCAGTTTCTAGTGTCTTCCTTTTCTGGAAAATCAGGATCCTTGTCATTCTCCAGTCCTGTAGTATCTCTCTCATTTCCCCACAGTCTCTCCAATGCCACTGACAATGATTCAGCAGTCTTACCCACCAGTAATTTTAGTGCCAGACCTTATAGTTCATCTGGGCCAGGTAACTTGAATATATTAAAGGTAGCTCTGTGCTCTGCCTCCTTACTTATCTTGGCTATCAGTTTCCCATTAGTCATTTTGTTGTTCTGTCATTTGCAGAACAAAGCTCAGTCTCCTTGGCAGAGAAAACAAGCAAAAGAAAAATTAATCGGCTCTGCCTTCTTTCTTTCTTTCTTTCTTTCTTTCTTTCTTTCTTTCTTTCTTTCTTTCTTTCTTTCTTTCTTTCTTTCTTTCTTTCTTTCTTTCTTTCTTTCTTTCTTTCTTTCTTTCTTTCTTTCTTTCTTTCTTTCTTTCTTTCTTTCTTTCTTTCTTTCTTTCTTTCTTTCTTTTTTTATCAGTTATCATCATCCCAAGCAGCAGCTTTATTCTCTCTTTAAAAGAAAGAATATTCTTTTTCCCCAATGCAGAAAAAAACCAACCAACCCTTTTCCTGCCCTTAGTTTTCCTTGCTAGCCTCAGCTCATCCTGAGCTTTAGCATTCTGGACAGTATTTTCTCACAGAGCCATACACACATTTGTATTCATCTTCTGTTACTTACCTGTGCTTCTATCTTCTAGACATAGATAGGGATAGCGGCTGGACACTGGGATTTCATTGGTCTAGGAAGAACCTGGGCCAGGAGACTTCCTCTACCAATAAAGGCCAGCACCTCCCCTCCAGCTTAGAGTGTTCTATCCATGGCCCTTGAACAGTTAAGTGGCTTGGTGAGTTCTCACACTAGACAACTCCAATTTTTCCTCCCCATCAGAATTTTCTTATTTGTGACTTCAGGATTTCATTCCGGAGAGTGTCCCGTCCCTCCTGAGCAGTTTTCCCCTTTTGTCCATGAGGTCTCACCTAGACTTTCTCTGTGCTCTAAGCACTTTCCTCCTCACTCTGTGTGGCAGATTATGCAGGGAGACCTAGTGATTAGTCCAGAATTACACAACTGGTAAGCATCTGAAGTGGGATTTGAACTCGGGTCTCCTGACTTGAAGTCTGGAAAGCCTTTGTCTGTAGCAGCAATCATACTGAGGCAGTGTATTCCTTGGTTCATACATTCTACAATTCAGCCAAACCAGCTGAATTCCTCTTTTTTTACGCACAACATTCCCTCTCCCTATTTACCTCTGCCTCGAAGAAGCCCCAGTTTCCTTCAAATGCCACTGTTTACATGAGGCATTTCCTGACTCTATCCACCCTGTTACCTATTAGCCCAGTGACTTTCTTTAAGTCAGTCATTCTGTAAGCATTTATTAGGCACATATTGTGTTTTAAGCATTATATGTCCTTTGACCTCCCTGACCCTCAGTATCCTCATCTGTAGGATAAGCCAGCTGGACTAGAAAAACTTTGGCCGTCCTTCCAGACTTAACTGAATGGTCCTATGATTCCCCTCCAGCTATTTGTGTTTACCCACCCAAAAAACAAAAAGCAAAAAACCAGAATCAAATCATATTTTGTTTCATACATAGTAGGTTGTTTCTACTTCTATGCATATGCATCGTCTCCCCTGTAAAACTCCAGGAAGGTAGGAGCTATTCAGCATTTGTATTTGTATCTCCAACTCCCAGCACAGTGATGTATGGGGGTAATAGGAATTAGTGACATTGTAGCCACTTCATAAATGCTTACCAATGATGGAACACACTGGTAGGTGGTGGGTTGGTGCTGTCTGGGTGGGAGGATCACATGAGAGAAACATCTAAATGTCAGAGAGGAAAGATGTGCCCCTGACTGATGCCATGGACATCTACGTCTTTGTCCAGCTCTGTGACTGAGCAGCTTGGAGGTTTGACACAAAGGGGCTCATGTTTGTAGATAGAAGACCCAAATTGGCTTGGCAGCCTAGAGATAGACCCAATTCACTTAGGGAAAAAGTTCTCCCATCCCACCTTCACCTGTATGATGTCACTGAATATAGCCTTGCTGCAGCAGTAGGTAGAGAGTTTGGGGGTTTTATTTTCAGACTGGCAAAGAATTTGTGGCAGGTGGGTGGATTTCTCTCTGAGGCTGGTTTTGGAAAAAATATATATACACACACATATACATACATATATATATATATACATATGTGTGTGCATATACATACACATATTTTTGTGTGTATATACACATACACATACACAGTTAACCAGGGAGTTCCTGATATGCCTATCAGGTAGTATGACACTTTCATCAATTTATAGGAAGGTTGTCAGTTAATTCAATCAATAAGCACTTAGGAAGCCCCTACTGTGTGCCAAGGACTGTGTTAGATGTAACCATGCAAATATGACATTGAAATGGTCCCTGACTTCAGAGAATTTAGCATGGTTGAATAGAGAATTGATAGAAAGGAGGAGCAGGGAATATGGTCTCAAGCTCCCATAGTATAAGCAAAAGCTTCCCCTCTCCCTATTCCCAGAATATATTTTTTACCCCTGGATAATAATGGTAAAAAAGGAAGAAGTCTATTCTCTCTTATCTCCTTCCATTGGAATATCACCTCTAAGGTAGCCTTGATTCTCTCTAAGCAACATATGTCCATCATTCAGGCCCTAAGAAAGGATGTGATAGGCCCAAGGCCTCTAAAGTCCAGGCTGCTGGTAAGAACCCAACCCTATTGGCTGCCAATTTGGTTAAATCTCATGAAAACCCTTCAGAATCTCCCATCTCCCCCAACCAATTCAGAATTTCCACCCCATAGGCTAAACATGACTATCCCAAAAGGATATGATTCTCCATGTGTGTTCACGTGTATATAAATATCTACAAAGGTCTAAGTGGGTGAAATAAGGATAACTCATGTTTTTATAGCTTTCTGGTCTATACAGTACTTTCCTCACAGTTGGTATTATAGGCATTCTGGGATACCATGGAAAGAGCCCTGGGCTTGGAGTCAGAGAACTGAGCTCCAATCCTTTGCTTCCACTTATTACCTCAGTGACCCAAGTAAGTCCTATCAACTCCCTGGGCTTCAGGGCACTTCTCTGTAATGTGAGGGTCTTGGACTAGGCCACCTATAAAGCCCTTCCATAGTGGTAGGAAGAGTTTTGTGCAAATGAAGGTAAGGTTGTGGGTTCAATAACCCTGAGAGGTTTGCTGAAATAAATGGCAGAAGAACAGGACTCTAATGAGGTCAGGACTACTGGTTCCCTGAAGGCACAGAAATAGAGAGAGCACTCTGCATCACCAGCCCTGCAGCAGGGGGGACCTACTGAGCAGGGCACCTCATTAGGAAGAGTAATTAGATGAAACAGTGATGTACTTCCTCCCCTTAGGGGCTCCTCCCCAATCGAGCTCCTTCTGAGCCCAGCCCTGCCCTCCTTCATCTGCTGAAGGTCCCCATTTCCCGTTGGCTGCCCTCCCTGACTGTCTGGTGCACTCCTTTCTTCTCTCCACTTTTTCTTTCTCCTGTGGTGATCTCATCAGTTCTTATGAGTTCAATGATCATTTGTGAAGAATATTAAGTCAGCCAGCATTTATACAGGGGTCTGTCCCCTCATGGAGTCCTGGGTCCTGGCTATATGAAGTCTCTCCTTCGGCTCTCCTCAATCTTCCCACTCACTTACTTGAATATGTCCTAAAAAGTTGTTTTGAGGGCCCCTTGCTGCCATGTTGATTACCTAGGACACATTTGACACCACCATAATGGCTGAAGATTGTACACTAAACACAAACATCCATCCACCCATAATCTTAGCCGCAGATTGACCTAATGATCCCAGCTGCAGACTGTCTCCAGCCATGACCACTGACTGATACCTTGGCCTCATCAGCAATCTCACAAATGTGCATTGCTGATTATATAAGTAGGCAGGAGAGCAGGAACAGTGAGAGAGCACGGATGACTCAGTTCAGTTCAGTTCATCCAAGGGGTATGATGAAGCCATCAGATCGGCTCTCAAAAGCCTATTGTTAATTTTCAGTGTGAGCATTTTATACCTTAAAAAATGTGCAAATGATGCAAACCAGGAGTTGATTTCATTCTTTCTTGATTCTTTAGACTTAAGAAATTGATGGGGGGCAGCTAGGTGGTGCAGTGGATAGAGTACCAGCCCTGAAGTCAGGAGGACCTGAGTTCAAATCCGGCCTCTGACCAAACACTTGACACTTACTAGCTGTGTGACTCTGGGCAAGTCACTTAACCCCAATTGCCTTAAAAAAAAAAGGAAAAAAAGAAATGTAAATATGAAGATTCAAGTTGGAAGGGTATCATCCATATTTTTTTGAAAAGGAGAGCAGGTTGTTAAATGTTTACTAGCACACCCCTAGCTTATCCCACGACTGGAGTTGTGGCTCAGAGCCCCATTACCTCTCATAGTATCTCAGCATCAGCCTCCCTTTGAGTGAGAAATTCAACCTCCTGTACGTGTGGGCCGTTTGGAAACATCATGCAGAGAGCTGGGTCCCTGGCACGATGTTAGACAAACACTCTCAGTATTGGTGATTATTATTAGTCTTATCAATATGACTCACTCTCTGTTTGCTCCAGCACCCAGTGTAGAGCTGGTGTTCCCCAAACACTCCATGCTGTAATAACAGTTATTAGCATCATTTTTATTACTAAAATGAATCTAGTCCCAG